GCCGGGTAGTCGGCAGCCAGCAGTCGGCCTGGTGGTGCAGTTGGCAGCCCGGAGTCGGCCTGTTGGTGCAGTCCGCAGCCTGCAGTCGGCCTGGTGGTGCAGTCCGCAGCCTGCAGTCGGCCTGATGGTGCAGTCCGCAGCCTGCAGTCGGCCTGGGCGGCCGGGGAGTCGGACTGAGGGGCTTTGCTAGCCCCGATGTCTTAAAATATCGTCTTGCCGTCTTCGAGGTATCCGTGTCCAATTACCCCGACAACAGAGGCTAGCCAACTCGCTCCCAGGGCGCTCACTCGATTTCTTCCTTCGATAGCCGTTCGATCCTGGTCAACACAGTCTTTTTCTCGTTCCTGTCCGTTTGATGTTCGCTGGGCATTGACCTCTGCATTTTGACCGGCGGTAGATCATGGGTGGGGGATGACTGGTGGGGCTCGTGCTCGGGTTGATTGGCTAGGTGCCGGTTTCTTCGGTGCGCGGGGCAGCCTCTCCTGTCGTGCCGCGTGCGCGCGAAGGCCACGTCGTGGGCGCTGCGCGGGTTACGCGCTGCTCGGACGATGCATATATACCTGGTTTTTGCGCCTGCACCTGCGCTGGGCCGATGACGGGTGGACCCGTGCTGCTGCTGGCCCCGCTCGTCGGTTGAACTGGTTGCACGTCCCACGGTGTTTCTCTCGGGTCAAACGTGCCTGGCGGCCGCTGCTCGCACACATGTTGCTTGCCTCGTCCGCTGCGCCCGCGTCGTGCGTTATGGGAGCAGCTGCGCAGGGCTCGGCCGGTGCATGTGTACCTGGCTTATGCACCAGCGTCTCTCCTATCGCGATGACAGGTGGGCCGGTCCTGCTGCTGGTCCTGCTCGTCAGCTGCACGGACTGCGTCAGGGTGTTTGGTTGTGCGGACTGCACCGGGTTGGCTGGGGCATGTTCGCGTGGACCCCTGGCTGACCGATGCATCGTGTGCGCGTCCTGCGTGCCTCACCTCCGTCTGCGGTTGGAGAGAGGAGATGGACTGGCAAAATATCTCGCGAGCCCACCTCCCGCGTAGCCGCCTCCATGCTCGTGCATCCTCCCGCGTCAATGGCGCCCAAACCTCCTCATCTCGGATCCCGTGGGACCGAGGTGCGAGCATGGAGGCGAGCATCCCTGGTGGCCGCCGCGACCTACAGGCAAAGGGTGACGGCGGCGGCGGCGCTCGATTAGATCTGCGGGAGAGGGGGAGGGGATGAGAGGGAGAGATAAGGAAGAAGATGAGAGGGAGAGAGAGAGAGAGAGGAAAGGGGATAGGAAGGTCTTCTACGCCACCGCTCTCTGGATGCACGCCATCCACCCGCGCACGCTCGCCACCAACCTCGCCGGCTTCGCCAGGTTCGGCTGCCTCAAGGACCTCCCCGAGATCCTCTATCGTTTCCTCCATGACCCCCGCGATGAGCGCAAGGACCAGGACGACGTCGCCGCGGCGGCCCCGGGGGCAAGAGCGGCAAGCGGCGCTGCGTCGACGGCCTTGCCGCCGCCGCGGCTGAGGCCACCAAGGCCCGGCGCGAGAAGGAGGCGGAGCACGCGCAGGCCATGCTCGCGCTCTACGACTCTGACAAGGCCTTCCGCAACCTCTACGACGGCGTCGCCGACCTCTTCGTCTGGCTGCTCAAGTCGGACCTGGAGCACCTGCGCACGGGCGACATGGCTAAGATCGTGTTCGCCGCCAAGTGCGCTCGTCGTACGCATCGGTCTCCTTTGCTCCATGGGTGCCGCTGGCTGAGGTTTGCCGTGCTCTTATTCTCCTCTTCTTCCGCTCTGTTCTTTATTCTTTGTTTGGTCATCTACTATACTGATGCAGAACATTTGTTTTCTGTGCAAGAAGTGTGCCTTATCTAATCTGACAATCATCTTATTTGTTGTTCTAAATAATTGATGCAGGATGGAGTAGCAGGCATAGAAGAAATCTACAGCCAATTTCTCTTGGCTGCGCCATCTTCCGCTGACAGTAACTCTACACAACAGCCTGCTAAGGTTGATTCTTGCAAAAAATACATAAGTCTTGCATCATTCATAAAAAAGTATATGGTCAGTTTCCTTTATAAATGTTGTGCTTAAAAATACCTTAGTTAAGTCCATCGACCGTGAGATCTTGCTCGCCGGCCTCATCTTTTTCTTCAGGTCGGTAGTACGTTGTTTCTGCGGCAAGATGAGCTTACCCATTAAATTTGTTCAATCCAGGGTTAAGATTCATCTCCCTTCAACTATAATTTTAACATTTAGCCTTTTTCCGCTCATTACAATTAACGGCATCTAAACACACTATACTCGCATCTGCTGGACTCTACTGTACTCGCATCTGCTGTCCTCTCTCCGTTTTCTTTAGCTCTCTTCTATTGACTGTTTATTCATGCCTGTGTGCCAGCTTTGTACTTCTTGGATTAATTCCTCTAATGCAATAAAGTCTCTAGACATTTTATTCTTCATATGTCTGCCATGTGGGCTTGCTGTGTCTTCTTTCTATGTTTTACAAAGTAGAAATGGCCCTTTCTAATTTGATTCTTCACAATCCATTGATCACCCCTCTTGTTTCCTGCTCCTTGGGGGGCCTAGAGAAAAAATGCCTCTTGCTTACTCAACAAGATTCTTGGTACTGCTTATAGTGCCTCTTTGAATTTCTTCTTCAATGTTCCCACGCGGGCCAAAATAATTGATGTCTTGCTTATTTATTGGTGCTCCTTCTGTTGGGCCTTTGGGCCGCCCCTCTCTTTTATTACAGATTTATTTTACATGGGGTTTACAGGGCTTTGTGTTTTTTGGGCTTATAATTCTTCATGGGCTTTTTGAAAGATGTGTCTTGGGTTTTGCTTCTTGGGCTTGCTCTTTGTGTTCTCTGGATTTTTTGTTTCCCAGCTAGGTTGCCTCTCCTTTTGTTTACTTCTTTATCTTGTCATTCCTTTTCGAAAACTTGTTTCTTAGTCTTTCTTCTGAGGTTTCCTTTTGGGCTGCCTTCTCATATCAGGAAAAAAAATGCTTTCCATGGGATTTGTAGGGTCTTGTGTTTTCTGGCCCGGTGATTCTTCCTGGGCTTTTGAAAGGATGTTTCTTGGATTTTGCTTCTTGGGCTTTCTCTCTGTCTTCTCTGTATTTTTGTGCTCCTCCTAAATATAATGTTTTCTCTTCATGCCTTTTCCAAAAAAATGATTAGTGGGTCCTTCTTAGGTAAAGCTTCTTTTTTACTACTCATATAAGCACGTGTGAATGCACATGTTTTAGATCTCATATGAAAGCAACTCGATTGTACACCAAAAAATAACTGCTGTGTTAATATAGTTTTCTCTCATGCCTTGCTTGATTGCGCAATTGTACAGCCAAATGCTTATCTCACATGAGGAAGAAAACTTACAGCTGCTGTGTTGATATAGCTTTCTCTCATGCCTTGCTCAATTGCACAATTGTACAATCAAATGCTTATCTCACATGAGAAAAAAAACTTAGTGTCACATGTTTTACGGAGATACAAATATATAGATGGCCATAAAGAAATTCTATTCGAAGCTGTCTAACTGATTGAGTGAGCTGAAACCTGCCCGAGCCAATTTATTTACCTTTGGATATTAATATCTCATCTTGCTCCGTTACCAAACTACTTGGTTTTCTAGGTGCACCAGGAGAAGTCTGATGATAAGGCTGAAGCTCTTTCATCTTCAAAAAAAGGTGTCAATTCTTATACTGTCTGTCTACCTATGCGTTCTTTAAGCCTTGATAGACATAGCGATTGTTCATTTCTGACCACAATAATTTCTAAAAGGGAGCTGTGCTACTGGAAAGGGGGCTGGGATAGCAAAGAAATCAAGGCAGTTACTACTCTACGTCATCTATGCAGAGATTAATTACCTATAGGTACAGCCAAGATCTGTTCCCATGTGTTGTTGCTAAATTCCTCTGCTAAGCATACTTTTAACTTTGTGTTATATAATGTGTTTCACTGTAGGTCACCTATCCTATAATATTAGCTTCTACCCGACAACATCTATGCTTAATTTGTGTTTAGTTAATGCCCACAGATTGTGATGTTCATATATGGGGATTTTTTTGGGTCAATTTTGTTGCTTCAATATGTAGGTGCTACTGTCCATGTGTGGTATATAATAGGTCAGACTGCTTTGCTAGCTTAATTTTTTAACTCGATATTTTCATTTAGGGGTGTCCTCTTCAGCTGCATCTTTTGTGCAGCTCCAAAATTCTATGTTTCAAAACACTTATTTCCATATTCTGTTTATTATTTTTAATTCATGAAAACTCTTTTCGGTGTGCTTGATCACTCCACTTCCATGTTTATCCTTGCAGAAAAGAATGCCTTTATCCTGATAGGCATGGAAACACCGCTTCGCATTGAGTGCATCATCGCTAATCAGCTACTATCTATGGTCAGCGGACATGCTTGCTTATTCGTGTAACATATCATTACTCTATCTGCTTAGCCTTTCCAACTTTTAAGATTTGATCAATTCTTTAGAAGCTCGTACACATCTAGAAGTATTTGGTTTTGTTGGTCAAATCCATTGTCTGACTGTCCTTATTTATTTTATTGTTCGAACAAGATATCAGATCACCTACATTCATTATTCTTGATTACAGTCTCATACTAAAGTAGTCTAAAATGGTCTGAATAGTTGTAGTAATTCATAAATATTTTCAGTCTAGTTCTTATTTGGTTTCTAGGCATAGAATTTACTTCAAAATTTTGATCTTTATTTGGTTAGTAAGGCTCTAGAATAAAACAGACCAATGATATATATACAAACAAACACAATAGGGGTTAACTGGTACCTAGCTTTTGAAACCTCTCATATATACAAAATATTATTTGAGTAGAACAGGAGAGATGCAATCTTATGGATATTTCCGCATTTGTAAGAAACTTTCCAGCTTGGCAAGAGGGCTTAACTAGCCATGTGTAGGACTCAGCCATGCTGCCTTCCAAATGATTAGTCATTGGTGTTTTCTTATGTTCCTGTTAATCCAAGTGCATCAGATAAGTAGACTGTTATGTGGAAAAAAGGAAAGAGACTACTCTTTTGTTACTTACATTATAGATATATGCTATAACATATTACCTTTATGCTCTCGATTTCAGTATACGCCTGTGAACAAGTAAGTCAGTAATATCAATGCCTAAGAATTACTTTGTTTGCCATTTTAATCGTTACATCAGAGAGCAATGGATATAGAAGAAATATGTAAACAGTTGTCCCTGGAAGAAATATGCAACAACTTATTCAGGTTACTTAATTAATAACGCATCTATATCATTACATATACATACTAAATGTGCCTTTTGAGAGTGAGCTTCTGTCAGTACCTCACACTTATCTTATATGCCATTCCAACTATCTGTTGCAGTAGAGAGCAAGGGACATATAAGAAATCTCCAGGCAGCTTCGCTTAGATGCATCATCTTCTGCTAGGACCTAGGAGTCAGCTTGAAGAACGACCTTCTCAGGTTAATTCTTTACAGAGAACCTGCTGCACTATAACTTTGGTTTAATCTGTCGATAATGCCTATGAGTATATTCTTAGGGGGTGTTTGGTTCAGAATTCCTAGGACTCTTTCTAGTCCCAGGGACTAATCAAAAAAGACTCTCCAGTAGAGTCTTTTTCTAGTCCCTGTAGAAAAAGTCCCTCCCGTTCGGTTCCTAGGGACTTTTTCTAGTCTGTGGGACTAAAAAGTCCCTGAACCAAACACCCCCTTAGTGTATGTTTGACTAGATTGTTTTAACTTGTGTTGTTCCTATGCTTCAGGAGACTGCAACTGACATGTTGGATGGTGAATAACCAAATTTGTGGACAAAGACAGAGAGTTCATCGTAAGGGGTGGTGTTTAGGATATATATACACAAAAGAGGAAACTTTCTTTTGTACATAACCAAATTATATGATGTAATTGACCACTATTTCTAAGAAATGTTCATAGTGTATTAAGTACATTTTATTGTGTCACTTTTTTTAGGGGTAGCTTTATTCATCAAACACCACAAAGTGTGCAATGGAGTTCATCAAACCAGCCTTTATTGTGTCACCTATGTTTACCTTCTTTTTTACCGTGTCGCTTATGTTTACCTTCTTTTTAGCGTAAGCTATTTGGACTTTCTAATTGCAGGCTCAGTTATTTGACTCACCGATGTTCTAATTTGTTGCATAATTACATTAAGCAACTATTTACATTCATTCTTTGTTTGAATTTTTTTAAACTTATGCCTCTGTTCCTGAATAACATAACAAATTATGCATGCTCAAGTATATATTTTGAAAGACAAGTCTATTATTTTTAATAAAAGTAGTTACAATTCGTGTCCTATGTGATTGCTCAAGCGTATAGTTATTAACAAATGCAAATATTTTCAAAGTGTCCATGGTTTTAAATGGGCCTTTGCGCCATTTGGCGCAATGGATCATCCAGAGAGCGCGCCACTTGAAAGCCCTTCTCATGCATAGAGCTGCCTCCGCACATCTCGATTGTGGAGATTGATGAGGCAGAGGAAAGCATACTAGTACTCCCTCCGTTCGGAATTACTTGTCGTAGAAATGGATGTATCTAGATGTATGTTAGTTCTAGATACATCCATATCCGAGACAAGTAATTCAGAACAGAGGGAGTATATTGCAATTTCAAAATTTAGAAAAACGAGAAAGATGCCCAAACGGACAACCTACGGATTTGTAGTTAACATTTAGCACTACATGTTGCCACTGGGTCATTCTGCCATTTAATGTTCTTAT